AACCCAAAAAAAAAAAAAAAAATAACCCAATCAACAAATGGGCCAAGGACCTGAACAAATACTTCTCAGAAGAGGACATACAATCATTCAACAAATATATGAAAAAATGCTCAGCATCTCTAGCAATTAGAGAAATGCAAATCAAAACTCCTCTAAGATATCATCTCAACTCCAGTCAGAATGGCAGGTATTATGAAGACAAACAACAATAAATGTTGGCGAGGATGTAGGGGAAAAGGTACACTCATACATTGCTGGTGGGACTGCAAATTGGTGCAGTCATTGGGAACTTTTTAGAGAATTATTAGTTATAATACTGGCATTCCTATAGCAATTTTGTGGTTCCTACCTGAACCAGCTGTGGGAGATATTCCAGTAGCTCATCATTCAAGAGGGTGTTTAATTGTTGAACTGCCACTTTACGAATTTCTTGATCTGGAAAACTAAGACATAGTACACGTGTTTATAAAGATGGTAATGTCTAGGAAAAACAGATGACACATGTCAGTAAAAACAGAGAAAGTATTCTACCCCCAGTGTATAAAGTAAAATAATAAACCCATCATAAATTAAAATAATCACTAGCAATAAGTGTTATTTTCCATATTCTAGACTCTCATGTAGACTACAATTGAAAGCCTTTTTTGACTAGGCTTAGAAAGGTGAATTTAAGTAAGATCCTTGCCAACTCTCTTAGCTATAAAATGTGGATTATTGGATATCTGAAATCTTTTCTGAAATGGATGGAAATGTTTAAACTATTACCAGTTGGAGATCTGATAGTTTATATGCTTAAAAATAAAATCTAATATTTTAAAACTGACTTTAGCCAGCTCTTAATGAAACCCAGAAATCTAAAGTACTTTATAATACATGAACAAGCATAATATAATAAGGATAAAGCTTACTAGACTGTGAAGTTCTTGAAGTTAACTGCAACCTATTCCTTTTTAGACTATATATGACAATAGTAAGATTAGTCACTTATTTATTAAACCAAATTTGTGAGGTATCTAACATTTGAAACCATATTCCAAAGACAATTTTATTTTAAAATGGGCTCTTCAGATTGTTGCCATCTTGCTCCAGCAGAAATTAGATGCAATTATCTACCAACAGCTAAGTGCATGGAGATAAATTTGGTACCACGCTGCTTTGAGATGATCTTGACCTATGGCCTTGACATGATTAGATATAGCCAGGGCTTTGGTAAGAACAATTAATTTCACATGAACATGTTTTCAGAAAATAATAGGCATAATTTAAAACTTCCAGAAACTGCTCTTAGTACTCATTTAAAAGCAAAGAAATGAATAAACAAATAAACAAAGCCCCAAACTGCTTTTGTAGGGAATTAACTGAAGGTTTTTCAACCAGTCAGGTGAAGACTCTGAAGATTAGCTCCCAGTAGTTTTGAAGTTAGAAAACTTTAAAGTCTCCAATAAGCTGTACTTTTTAGGATATTAGGTTACTGAAGGATGAAATGAATACTATGCATCTATAGAGTTGAGTAAAAAAAATGGCATTACTCAGTACCCCTCAACAGTCCTTGAGAGCAGTTTGAAATGTAATTGCTAAATAGGGTATGCATTTTTTTTCATTTAAACTGAGCATTTTAATTGCAACAAAAATTTCACTTCTAAGGTTAGTCACTCAAAACTCTTATTTCTGACCTGAAAATACTTTTCCAATACTAATTTTCTCCCTTTGAACATTCTAGCAATGAGCCCTAGTGAGAACTGTAGTCCAGACACATCTCATGAAGTACTGCTAAGGTCAGAAGGTCTCAGCATAACCTCATGCATGCACCAAGAGCAGAAGGGTGCAATAAAAATGCAAAGCTAGAAGAAGGTCAGCCTATTTTAGCACATTAAGACTTTAAATTCTCCCAACTAAATGCAATTGACTCTAATTTATTGCTCTCAATTACTAAACTATTTGTTTGAAGCTTGTGGACATCAAGGTCAGTTTGAGGACAGTTTGAAGCCTCAGAGGGAATAAGTTATTTGGTATATTTCAACAAAGTGATGACTTGTTAAGTCGGATTCTAGTCACTCTTGTTTTCTTGTGTGCCTATTTTATCTTATTGATACAGGTGACAAAAAAAGTAATTGAAAATATAAAAGAAACATCACAACACCAGCTTTGGTGAGCACTATACTTCTAATTATGTATTCACTAGAATATACACTAGAGTGGAAGCAGAAATTTTTTGTCTGCTTTGTTCTTGGATGTGTCCCCAATGCCTCCAAATTTGTGGGTGTCCTCTTTGTATTTGTTTGAAGACTAAACTGAACTCATTATCTTTCCATAAGACATTTCTACTACCAGGTTTCCTTCTTAATATCTTTCTCCAATCATATAGTGATAAAATTTTAAAGATGATATTTGGCTCCTCTTTTGCCGTCTTTATTAGATTTCCCCACTTTTCTTTGGATGAAAATCTTTTCATCCCTCCAGTCAAAGCTCCAGCATCAATTTACCTGTGGTTGTTTTGACCACTTTTCAGCCTCCTGTAGAGGTAATCACCTGTTCCCTAAGGAATTCTATATGAAGCCCATGGTTGGTGGCATGTTCCTCCAATTTATGAGTCCCTTATTGAAGCACAGTTTAATAGAAGTTTGTGGAATTTCCTGTAGTTTCTTATTTTTATACTTAACTCAGTTGCTAAGTTCAGTTGACTCTTCTATCTTAATGGTTTGAGTATCTGTGCTTACTTTTAATTTCTTCTGCACATATTTGGTCTAGAACATATTTTTCATGGTGATATCTAAAGAATTTCCCAATTTGTTTGTAAATTCATTTCTTATAAAACATTAAATGGTTTTCTATTTTCAGTGGACCTTTCTTATACTCATACTGCTAACCTAGAATTGAAGACTGGCTAAATATTCCAGGTATTTCTCCTACCATAATATTGGATGAACCAGTCTGTTTCATTTGCCATTATTATTATTATTATTTTAGAGAGAGTATTTTTTAGAGAGAGAGAGAGAGAGAGAGAGATAATTTTTTAATTTTAATATTTATTTTTCAGTTTTTGGTGGACACAACATCATTGTTTGTATGTGGTGCTGAGGATCGAACCCGGGCCGCACGCATGCCAGGCGAGCGCATTACCGCTTGAGCCACATCCCCAGCCCATCATTTGCTATTATTTTTGCTCTGAAAAAGTCATGTGCATTCTCAGTAATGTCACCTCTTGTCTTAAAATTCTGGTCCTTCTTCAAGATGTGGATCAAATCCCACTGAAGGCAACTTTCCTTAATAATCACTTGTTCAAACTCCAAGAATATTGAGTGGTTGATTTCTCTTGGACACTTAGGATATACTAGTATATACATAAGGTATTATTATTTTATATATGTGTCCTCATTCCTCAACTAGTAAATAAATCAATTGAAGATTAAGTGTGTTGCATCTTATTTTCTTATTTATGGGATATAGCACCATGGTATATATGAGGTGGGCAATTAAAAAAAAATACAGTAGTCATGGTGATAATAATGATGAAAATTATACAATGGAGTCAGTTGTATTTCTTGCCTTTCTCTAAGGTAAATGACATTGGTTGCAATAGGCTTAATTCCGCCAATACCACTCATATCAATTCTGGAATTTCTTTTTAAGCAAAAGTATAAAAGAAAAATAAATCTAAAGGTAATAGAAATAAGTGTATTTTTTTCCAAAATTTTTAGAAAAAGGAGAACAACAACAACAAAAAAAACTGGTAACACCTGTATAGTGTAGTCCAGAAGGAAAATGATAAATTTGTACTAATATATGCAAGTGCTGGGAAGGCTGATTTTACACTATAATGGAAAGGGATGTCTCATTTATTCTTCACTGTTGAAGTTCAGAAAGAAATTAGGACAGAAATTGAAACTAACTGCATGACACCCTGAGATGTAAACAAGGCCTAAGTTGACATTAGAGCATACCCAAACATAACTTGCATTCAACCGTATTAAGAAGAATTGAACATATTAAAAGAGATGCTTGCAGTGCTGGTGAAGTTCCTGGGACAGGAAATTATTTGTATGTTGCTGGCAATATATGGTAGCATTTATTAAAGCAAGGCAAAACTCACAATGTGGTTCTGGCTTGATCTGGAAATTTAACTTGAGGGAATATGTCTTAAGGATATAATAAGAGATGTGCATGAAGATTTGTGTATGCAAAAAGCTACTGAAAATAATATCCAAAATAAAATATCTAAAAATAAGTAATTAAATATGCTATAGCCATGTGGTGGATTATATGATGTCATTAAACATAGTATTAGAATATTTAATGATATAAAATACTGTGAAATATTTATGCAGTATTGTTTTTGAAATAAATATGTGTACATTTCCCTATATGTTTAATAAAAGATGGAAAAGATTAACAAATACCAGCTATCTGAATGAAAGTTTCATAGATGACTTTCATTTCATTTTGTAAGCTTGTTTAAAAAGTTTTTCAAGCCTATTAAAAAGTATTTATTACTTTTTAAAAGCCAGGCTTATCCAACTAATTAATAAAATATGTGAGTAATTGCAATTTCGTTACCGAACTAAAAAATGGTTCCAGGGCTGGGAATATAGCTAAGTAGTAGAATGCTTGCCTAGCATGTGTGAGGCCCTGAGTTTAATCCCCAGTACCCCCCCCTAAAAAAAAAAAGAAAAAGTTTTCAAATCATATGCCCTTTTAGGAATGAATACCATTGTGTGAAAGAACAAGCTTCCTATTTTTTAGTTGATTTAGAATATTCTTCCAACATAATAGGTCTCTGGAGAATTCATGTTTAACTGCCTTTTTAAAGCCCCTGAATTCAGGTATAGATCAATGGACAAATATGTTCCACAAATCCTGGCATTTCTTCCCTGTGATGTTGTGGGAAATTACTTAAGCATTCTTTTGGGATACAGTTGTTGGCATTTCACGCTCAGTAGCTTGCTCCTCATGGAGGTGAGGGTTACTCATATTAGTTCTCTGCCTTTGGTGTGATATTTACAGACTGAAATGTCATATGTATCAGAAGACCTGAAACCTGATTTGAATTTCCTCAAGCCAGGTTATCGTGCTTCTTAATGACTTGATTTCCTTGAAAAATACACTGCTGCCAGTCACAACCAGGAGACACTCTTTAGCAATTCTCTTACCACTGGAACTACTAACTATTGTAGGAGTGACTATTACACTTTGCATCTGGGGAAGAAAAGAAGTACTGTTAAAAGATTCATAGGGCTGATATCAATTAAGTCTTTATTTAAATTTCTAAGAAACTTGTTTATAATCAATCAGAAAATAGCTCATTTCAAATGTCATAAATGAAGAACTTGTTTGAGATATGAAAAAGACCAAGGTCAGTGAAATGCTAATATTATTAGGGAACAGATTGTGTTAGGTGAAAGAAATTTCCACTTATGAAATTTTTTGAATGAGGCTTAGGAAGAAT